GCATTCCGTCAAACGCAGCCGTTGTAGCCCTAGGGTACATTCAAGTTGACTTGTTGAGAAATGCCATGCCGACTGAGTGTGTGTGGAGCTGCGACCGGAATGGAGCAAATGCTTGCATGCACTGCATGCCCGGCGGCAACTGTGGCAGGTTCGCCTCCACTCAGTCTTTATCTGCAAGCTCGGTGGCGACGGCATCTGCAAGCCCACTCTGACTGGCGCCTCAAGCTACACTGCAACTGCCAAGCACTGATGTCATTGACAACTTGAAGTATATATATACCACTGGCACTGCATAAGCAGCATCCACAGCTCCGTTGCCACCACCTGCTGGCAGCATCGGCTGCTGCATAGGTGGCTGCTAGTGCTGCACTCAGTCTGGCAGTGGCATTAGCGCTGGTGGCAGTAGATGTTCTAGCTTGTCGCCTGTTGCCGCACGCACTACGGTAGGGATGCGGCAAATGTGGCGATGTCCGCATGAGGGGCAGGCACGTCACCTCTGCTGCTGCTGCTCTTTGTAGCATTGCTGGTGTGGAACTTCATTGAATGCGCAGCATCTGCATTGACGGCTGCCGCTGCTGCGTGTGCTGGAGCAGCTGCGCCGCCTGCCATTGCTGTCACAGTGCTGCTGGTGGTGCCAAGTGCTGCTGCCGCAGGTGCAGGTGCGGCACCTGCCTCATTGGCCGCTGCCACCGCCATTGGCGCTGTCGCCGCCGGCGCGGCTCCGGCGCCACCTGCTGCCGCTGCCCCTGTTGCAGGTGCTGAAGCCCTAGGGCCTGAGCCGCTCAGCGGCTGTCACGGTGTTGCCTATGCTGCCGCAGCGGCTGATGCTGCTGCTAAGTGACACCGCTGCCCCTGTTGCAGGTGCTGAAGCCCTAGGGCCTGTCAGATCTGCTCAGCGGCTGTGTTGCCTATGCCTGCGACAGCTGCCGCAGCGGCTGATGCTGCTGCTATAGTGACGCCGCAGAGGCAGCATGTCAGTGAGGTGCAGCATGTGCTGCCGCTGCTGCTGCCTCTGAATTAGATGCTGGAGCAGCTGCCGCGGCAGCCGCCGGAGTAGTTGCGCCGCACATGCGCTGCCGCTGCTGCTGCCGCTGGTGACGCCCGTGCTGCCGCCGCAGCCACTGGTCCAGCGGCAGCTGCGCCGTACTCGCCAGTCTGAGAACTTCGATCGCATGGCTGCGCCATTAGCACCCAGCACTGGAGCGGCTGTGCTGCCTGCAGCCACTATGATAGTCGCCGCTAGTTCTGCAACGGCCGCCGCCGCCGGGGCGGCAGTGTCACAGTGGTGGCCTGCCGCTGGTTCAGTTGCCGCCGCCGGAGCGGTCGTGCCTCCAGCCGCTACAGTGACTGCCGCTGTTGCGGCTGCTGCTAGCAGCTGCTGCTGGTGCTAGTGCTGCTGCCGCTGTAGCCGACTCGCTCGGAGGATATACTACCGTAGTGACCAGTCATTGACGGTCTAATAGCTGCACCGCCGCCAGCTCAGGTTGACTCATGAGGCTCAGGCGGCCGCCCAGTGCCAGTGAGTCACTGTGCCAGTGCTGCTCCGTGCCCATCAGCGGCCAGCCTGAGTGCCGGAGTGCTGCAGCGGCTGCATCAACTTGAAGTCGAAACAGACGAGTTCATGAGAATTTGCGACAGCCATAAAGTCTGTCTGAAGGTCACCGTGTTGCCATCGACAAATCGTTGGGTGTACTACTAGTAGTGCGATGGCAGCTATAGTGTTGTGGGCGGTAGCGACATTGCTGCTGCTCCGACTCGGAGCTCAAACTTTGAAAAGCCTGCTGCAGCAGCAGGCCCTGGGGCAGCAGCTGCTACGCTGCCCGTGCAGTGCTGCTTTAACGCCGGTACCGCAGCCTTGACGGCAGTGCTACCGGCACCGGCGGCAGTATCCTGAGCGATCGAATCGAATGCAGCACTGGCAGGCATGCACTGCACCTACCCAAGCGGACATCTGTCCACGGCACTACTGCAGTTGCGCGTGGCAGGCGGCGTAGCCCCGAGTCAGGCCGCAGCATGCTCAGCGCCTGCATCTCAGCGGCTGCCAGACTGAGTGCACTCATGCCATCAGTGATCATCATGATGTCATCAGTGATTCAGCGGCGGCCGCCGCCAGCCCATTGGCAACCTGAACTTCAAAGCTGTTTGTGCTGCCAGCGCAGTGCGCGTTCCGAGATATAACTCAAAGATGGCATGCCTGCCCCTCAATGCACTGCAGACATTTGTTACAGCTGCCGCATTCCTGCGCGTCGCGGCAAAAACTTGAAGTGACAAGCTCAGACTGGAACACCTGCTGCCAGCAGCGCTATGCCACTGTACACTCAGTGTGCGGCTGCTGCCGCTGCAGCAGCACTGCAGCCATGGGCTCCGTTGGTGAGATAAAACAACCCACTAGTAGTACCTGCCAGACTGGTTGGTATTGCAGAAAACGGGAGCCACCGGTGTGAACTCAGTAAATATTGGCTTCTGTCACCTGTCAGTTGTGATGTTGTGGGTATTAGAACAGTATGTATACTCAATGACATGCCAAGCAATATGTGATGTAAACAATATATTTATTACAGCTCGGGGTCTTGACATATCCTGTGTTGAACTTGCACTTCATCATGAACCTCATTGCGAACTTTTGTCAAGTAGGGAAGGTCAACTCCAGGTTGAAGTTTGAACAGTGCTGAGTCGTGCAAAGCAAGGCAATTTTTTTCCAACTTCATGACCTCAGCATCTTGTTGAAATGCAGCAGCGAACGCTGACATGGTGTAACAGGCTTCGCCAACGTGGTTTGATGCTGGGTCTCGTTTTCACATTTCAGGTCCCATTTTTCGCAATTCAACCTTGCTGACTTCCTACATGCGTCACAGTGCACATGTCACAAAGCGGCAGCGACGGCCGCCGCCAGACTGAGAGGCCTTCCGGATGCCGTCAGCATCTGCAGCACTCAGGCTGCAACAGGTGTCACCGAGTCGAGCTGCGCCACCCGAGGGGACCACCATGGCACCTCCGTTAGCGGCAGAAACTTCAAGTTGAAGCTCAGGCTGCTGGGCTGGCGGCATTGGAGCACATCTGTTTCATGATCTGACATTTTGAAACAAAATCGTAGCTGGCACTACTCTTCAAAAAGCGCTCCATTCGTCCATGAGTGCAGCAGAGTCTGAGACGGCACACAGCCTACTAGTAGGCTGAGCCTGACAGTGTGCACAAAGCGAGGCGCCTGGTTGTACATGTGTCGTACAGGCACCAATATGCCGGAACCCACAGCGCCCCCGTCAACTTGAATTAGATTATCATGCCACAACAGCGGGAGTGGGGCGCAGCGCGACGCTGTCCTCAGGCTGCGGCAGCACTACAAGCCTCTGCGACAGCCTGAGGCTATCGAGTTATTTGGCACCATCGGCCCGAGGCGCAGGGGCGGAAGCTGCTGGAGGCTGTCGCCACGGAGTATGCGCTCAGGATGTCGGTGCCTGGAGCAGCCAGTCATCTAGCCCTAAAAGACATAGCGCTGGCACGCACTGCATCCGCTCAGCTCTGTCGGCAGCTCTCCACATGGCGTACTCGTCCCGTGTCATGACGCACATGGCGCAGTGTAAGGATTCGCTAAGGAGGGGGAGATGGACTAGGATTTTGAGGGGGGGGAGATGCCATATGGCGAATCTCTTTTTGAACAGCAAAGAGCATTGAGACACTTTCAAGTGACACTGTTCACAAAGACACTTGCACTTTCTGGTTGCAAGTCCTGGATGTCCACCATCTGGGCTTTTTCGCGCCATGAGCGAGAAAAATAACAACTTGATGTACTTTGTCAGCCAAAGGCGGCAGCACAGTGCCCAGCGGCTGGGCTGGCCGGCTCTTGCAAGTGTGCGCGCAGGCGCCTCGGCGCCGAGGCGCCTAGTAGTTGTACTTAGTCTACAATTGTCATACAGACGCCGATCGCCGATACGCGTGCACGCACTCAGCAGCCCGCGCAACTTGAAGGCATATGCACACAGTAGACTATCGTGCACAACAGCGTCGAGCGGACCAATGGTAGTACGAAGTGCGACGCCGTCGAGCGAGCCAGTGGTCCACAGCGCGCCGCCGCCTATGGCAGCGCACACGCCTCTGAGACAGCCTAGGGGCTAGCGGACGAGGACTGCACGCCATTCCTGGCGCCATCGAAGGATGACAGGCTAGACCTACTATAGAAGTGTTGCCTGCTGACACACCTCTCTGGTCACGGGCTTACATGACGTGCCGCTTCAGCTTTCGCTCATGTTGAATGTCATCTGCTTTGAGGCACAGAGTGCAGCTGTAGCCTAGACGCCGTAGCGGTTCTGGCATGACCAAGACGCAGCCAAAGAGACCTACGATTTCGGTCACGGGTGATCAGATCTGCCACTGGCCATAGGGTCCCTGGATTGCATACTATAAGGCTCTTGCAGGGTCAAACGTTGTCTGACACTGTTGCAACTACAAAATACCCAAGCAGGATTTTGGTTCCCAGAGCAGCTAGCGCTCTACGCTTGAAGTGCATAGCACTGGCCCACATGCGCTCCGCTGCATCCACAGCACACAATACCCTGGCGTACATTTGCGGGCCATGACACATGGTGCACTTGAGAGGGGGGGGAGGGGGGGGGGCACGACCCCGCGGCAGCTAAGAGACCTAAGTACGATTCCACTGCCAGTCGTGAAAGTAAGATCTGCCACCTGAGCCATACTAGTAGGGTCCCTAGGGCTGAAATTACTATCAGGCTCTTGCAGGGTCAAACGCTGTCTGCCACTGTTGCAACTACAAAATACCCAAGCAGGATTTGAGTTCCTAGAGCAGCTAGCAGCAGCTAGCGCTCTACGCTTGAAGTGCACAGCACTGGCCCACATGCGCTCCGCTCCATCTACAGCACACAATACCCTGGCATACATTAGCGTATAAGATCACACACATGAAGGAGGTTGACGACAAAGACGAGGGCGCAGGATGAAGAACAAGGCTCATGCTACGTTTCGGATGAGCAATGCATAACGATGACGGAGGAATAGCGAAGTGGTCAAACGCGCCACCTTTAGGCGGTGGTCTTCACGGTTCGTGGGTTCAAATCCCACTTCCTTCACTTTTGGAATTTTCTCTTTTTTCACCCTGTCCAGTTCGCATTGAGTACACTTGGTGCCTCAGTGACTGCTCAGTACGTATGGACTTGTATTTATAAAGGCCCAAGGGAGGCCGGGTTGCATATGCAATCGAAAAGCTTGCGTCAACGCAGCAGCCTAGTCTGCGCTGTGCCCTAGGAGTTTGGATACCGGCGCCGCAACACAGCCCAGCATTCGCGCTCCACGTGTGTATGCCATGACGCGCTCCGCCAACTCCCGCGCCAGCGATATGCTCAGCTCAATGTGGATCTGACGCTTAGCTAACCCGGCCTTGCGTAACACATCTGCCTTCCCCCCCCCTGAGCACAGTGCTGAGTGCATTGCCAACTCCTTAACAAAAAGGCTTGTCTGCTTGCCCAGCCGTCCGTACGACTCCTGCACGAATGGCACAAAAGCCCAAGATGACGTCAAGGTGCCGGTGTGGTGCTTGACCTTCGCGTCCTCCCCCACCCCAGCAGCATAGCCGTCCGTGTTCGAGGCATTTGTTTTGCCTGCCAGGTACGAGCTCGCTGTGGGCGCACGCACACTTGTGTCTAGCACTATTCCCTTGTTACGGTATGCACTGCTAAAGTGCAGACACCCTGGGTCAATGACTGTGTCCGCCCGATACCCCGGTACCTTGAAGACGCTAGCGTCCTCACTGCGGACAATAGAGACATGGTGCTGTCTCAAGATGCGCTGTAGGCACCGCTTTTGGGCAGTGTGTGTCGCGTTGTGCCCCCGTATGTGCTGGCTGGGGCAGCTGATCGCATGCGTGGAGGTGGGGCTCACGTCACTGCACCGCCATGGGCACACCTCGCCCTGTATGCACCACCCGTCTATAAAGATCGCAACCAAAAACATCGTGGCTGCTGCCATACTGGACATGGGCGCCGCACCCGGGCGGTCATTGGCAGCGGGTGGCACGCTCATCCACGCCATTGCCCCGGACGCACGCTGGCTGCGCAGCTGCGCCAGGACCCGCGCGCTAGCCTGTTGGCGGCGGCGGCTGGTGTCACGCGAGTCACCAATAAGTGTAGCCTGCGTCGGCTTGCCCACGGCACCAGCCGAGGCAGCCTCTAGGTCCTCCACCAGGCAGTCCTCGTATTGACGTCAAAGAACATTTGAAAGGCCGGCTTGTAGTCCGTGCGTGAAGTGACCGCGCCGGCGGCGGTCAGTACTCGTGACACGGCGCACCTGATGGAACGATTGCGCGTCACAATGTAGCAGTCAAGGTGTTGTACCATTTTTCATGCTGGAAGCACCGCTCTGCATGGTGGCGCAACTACCACCTGATGTAACTTTGAAAAAAAGACAAGGTTGACCTGCTGGTACTGTGGCACCTCGACCGCGGCCAGAGCTGTTCAATGCTGGCAACGCAGGTACCAGCACTCTCTGGATGGGCGGGGGTGCTGCAGCAGGCGGCTCCTCAAGCGGCTGCAGACAACGCTGCTGAGGATGCGGCAACACAAGCGGCACCGGCAGCAGCGGCAGCAGCACCAGCACCAGCAGCATCAGCAGCGGCAACTGTTACAGCGGCAGCGGCGGTTGCCAGTGGAGGCGCGACCGCTCCGGCAGCGGCAACTGCATCAGCGGCTGGCCGCGCTTATGGCGCAGCCATTCCGGCAACACACAACGCAGCTGCCGCTGGATCAGGGGCCGCGGCGGCAGCACAGGCGGCACCAGCGGCAGCAGCAGCAGCGGCGGCGCACGGTGCAACTACTCCGGCGGCAGCAGCAGCGGCGGCAGCAGCAGCTGCTCCAGCATCAGAGGCTGCTGCAGCAGCGGCAGCACATGTTGCACCTCAAGTGGCCTCGGCGGCATCATTAACTGCAGCATCAACAGCAGCGGCTGCGGGCATAGGCAACACAGCTGCTACAGGCCCTACTAGCCTAAAGGCTGCTGCAGCACCTGCAACAGGAGCAGCGTCGGCAGGCGGCGCCGCAACCGTGCCGGCTGCGACAGCGCCAATGGCGGTGGCAGCGGCCAATGCGGCAGGTGCTGCACCAACACCTGCGGCAGCAGCAACACCACTGGCAGCAGCAGCAACGGCAGGCGGCGCAGCTGCAGCACCAGCGCACGCAGCAGCGGCAGCCGTCAATGCAGGCGCTGCGCGTTCCACACCAGCAATGCTACAAGGCGCAGCAGCAGCAGAGGTGGCGCGCCTGCCCCTCATGCGGACGATCGCCACAGCTGCCACATCTCTACGTGCAGCAACAGGTGACAAGCTGGAACATATACTGCCACCAGCGCTAACGCCACTGCAGCAGCAACCACCTACGCAGCAGCCGCCGCTGCGGCCGACAGCAGGTGGTGGCACTGGTGCGGATGCTGCTTGCGTACTTGACGCCAGTGCTCTGCAGTTGCAGTGTAGCCTGCAGCGCCCCAATCAGAGTGCGCTTGCAGATGCCGTCGCTACCGAGCTTGCAGATAAGGTGGAGGCGGACCTGCAACAGCTGCCGCAGGGCACGCAACGCACGCAAGCACTTGCTCGATTCCGGTCGCAGCGCCACATGCACTCGATCGGCATGGCATTCCTCAACGAGCCCATGTACTCGACAACGGCTTCGTTCGATGGCCTATCCTGGCAGCTGGCCGTCAAACGCGCCATCGGAGTAGAGGAGCAGACGGCAGGCTGCAAGCTGTGCGGGAAGTCGCCGGGCGGCACCCTGCATGCACGGCTGTGTCAAGCGCCACGCGTCAAGGCGCACGACACCATCGTCCACAATAGCGTCAAGAGGGCCACTCTGCGGCAATACCTCAAAACGGGACTGGTGGACGAGGACTACACGCCGTTTCTGGGGTCCGCCGGGCCGCCGGGGAGTCGCAGGATGGACATCGTGCTGCCTGCCGACGCCTTCCCGGTGACCGGGTACGACGACCCGACACGCCACCTACCGCTCATGGTGGACGTTAGCTGCTTCGAGGCACAGGTGGCGTCGCGGGCGGCGAAGACTGCAGCAGACCCCGAGCGATGCTGCCGCGACCAAGAGGCCGCCAAGACTACCCACTATTCTGGTCATTATGATCAGAATTGCTACAAACTTGCCACTTTGGCAATAGGGTCATTTGGCAGCATCGGGGAGCAGGGGCGGAAGCTGCTGGAGGCTGTGGCGACGGAGTATGCCAGCAGGATTTCAGTGCCCGGAGGAGCGCGCCCTAAAGCTCTCAAGGGCATCGCCCTGGCGCGCTTACGCTCGGCACTGTCGGCAGCGCTCCACATGGCGTACTCTGGCCGTGTCATGACACACATGGCAGAATCCAGGGGGGGGGGGCACATGGAGGAGGACGTAGGGGAGGACCCCGAGATGCCATTTGGCGGCGGCGGCGTTTGAGTGGTTGTCGTTGCGACACTTTCAGACTGTCATACGACATGTAGATTCCTTACAGCTAGATGCCAATCATCTGGGCTTTTTCGCGCCCTGAGCGAGAATTAATAAAAAGTACTCAGTCTATCATGGCGCTGCTGCAGCTGCATTGTGCATCGCTTTGGCATCACGGTGGTGCAATCAAGTGTCACTGAGACGGCTGGCGTATTGCAGTGTACTGCCAGTGGCTCAATCTCAGGAATTTCAAACCGTTGCACACGAGAACATGGTGCACCATCTTCAACAGCACTGCTTGGCACCACGGGCGTGTATTCTATGTACTACTTCAAAGTACATTGCCCTGAGCGAGAATTAATAAGCAGTACATTGTACATAGAGGTCCGTACGATGTATAACCTCCAAAAATGTATAACGCGTCATGCCGTGCACAACCTTGTGTACATTTTATGAATTCTCGCTCAGGGCGCGAAAAAGCCCAGATGAATGGCATCATGATCTAACTTGAAGCTTGCTGTACGGAATCTACATGTCGTGTGACAGTCTGAAAGTGTCTCAACGGCAACCACTCAAACGCCGCCGCCGCCAAATGGCATCTCGGGGTCCTCCCCTAACTTGTGTACTTTTATTGATTTCGCTTCGCAAGGGGCGCGAAAAGCCCTCTCTTTGGATGTGCACTCAATGCAACATTCCTTCTCCGAAGAGAGACTCAAACGCAAACAGGCTTCCCCTTCTTTACACTACCACCAACACCGCACAACCAAACCCTACTTAGGGTTGCCCAGCCGCGAGGCACACTTGTCCCGTCTTGGAAATTTTTTTTGCAGGCCGGGGTCGCCTTTGACAGCGCCCAGCACTGAGGACCATGCTGACACGTCTGAATCACGCCTCTAGGCAAAATGATCACTGGGCACCAGGCACTGGTGCTAAGGGTATCAATGCTGTTGCTACAAAGAGTCCGACCCAACCCCAACAAACCCCACCCAAACCCTGATTGGTCCCCACTATCATGCTGCACCAAAGTGCCTAAGCTACTGCCTCTACACGACCAGACCCACTTTGAGGCCTCCCGTGTCTCTGCCAAAATGGTCCTGACCGTGAACAGCTTTGTGCAGGCCTGGGCTACTGGTAGCAGCGCCCAGAACTGAGGACAATGGCCATGGATCACTAAGTGCCAGGCACTGGTGCTGCTACTAGTAGTGCTGACACAACCAAAGTATGCAGTGCTGTAATATCATACTTCTTCATGTTTTGTGCAGCTGTTTTCAGAAACTCAAAGAAGCATTGTCAGTGTACTTGAAGTATACTTTTTGCACTCTTGTGAGACATGACGTGCACTTAAAGATAGTGTTGCGCTGGCTGGTGCTGTAGGTTGCTGCCTCTGCCAGTGGTGACACAAATGCGTAGTGTACACTGCGATGCAACGAGCACACAGACTGCGGAGCGTATGTGACAGAGGCACTGACAGCACTGCAAGCAGGCACCGTTTCAGCAATCCTCAATTGAAGCAGCTGCGCCCAGACAGCCTGACTTGCCAAGTGGCTGTGATCATTTGCCAGTGTCGCAGTATCGCACCAAGACCATCTTCTGGTTGGCATCCACACTTTGTTTAAGCACAGATTACTAATAGTATTTTCTGCTGTGCAGACTTCAGCGCA